ACCAGCTACTGTTCAGGGTCCAGTGGGGCAACTTCCCAGGTGTGAGAGGGTCCTGCAGCCCCCAGAACCCTTGCCCAGGCAGAGCTCCCTGGGCCCGTGGAATGCAGAAACCAGAGAGAGCCAGGGTGGAAACGGCCTTGATTGACAGCTCCCTGGGGCTTACAGGGCCCACCACACCGGCCCGCCCCAAGGGCCTTTCTCTAAAGACCAGGCATTGGCGGCTCTGAATGGACTCCCCGAAGTTCCCCCACCTCAGGCTCCAAACCCCATCAAGTAGTCATTCAGCAAAAGAAACTTGGGGAGGGCTCGCTGCCCTCCACCTTCTTGGAGGAAATGGGGCGATGAGAGGCAGCCAGGCCGGGGCACAGCTATGGAGAGTCAGCCCGACGACGAGTCAGGCCCCGTTTATGCTCTTACTGGTGCTGTGACCCGAGCAAAGACCCAGTGTCCTCAAGTCTCGGTTTTCTCCTCTGTCAGACGAGTTTACTAGTCCCCTGTCATTAGTAAATGAGACCGTCATGAGGATCCACTGAAATCACAGACGGAAGGAGCCGACATACAGCAGGCGCTCAATGAATGCTCACCATCACGATGAGACATGGCGCAGCCAGGAGCCAGCGTGTCCGGGTTTCAGCTTTGGCTCCACCACCTCTCAGCCGTGTGAGCTTGGGCACGTTTTACAGACATCTCTGTGCTTCAGTTTCCTCGTTTGAAAAACAGGAATAACAGCAGTGCTGGAGACTAAGGGAATAAGATGCCCGAAGTGCCCGGGCCACACTGAGTGTTGCCATTGCTGTGTTGACGGGAGAACAGACCAGTGTGGAGACCTGTGCTGCACGCCTGCTAGGGCCCTGTCGGGTCACGTGTTCTCTGGGGTGAGTCTCACCATAACCCCATCTGGAGGGCAACTTCACATCCACTTCGCAGAGGAAGAAACACAGACTTGACCTGACCAAGGGCACTGCTACGCTGTGGCAGGTCTGGAATTTGAACCCAGGTCTTCAGACGCTGTGCTTCCCATGTAGTTCAGGCATTACTTCAGTGGTTTTCACACTGGGTTCCGGGGAACCCTCGGGTTCCCTGGAGGTGCCTCAGGGATGGCTAGGGGGTGAGGTGTGGAGTGAGGAAAGGAGGGGCCTCGAAGGAGAGGCTGGGCTACAGGGTTCCTGCTCAGCCTGGGACAGGCACTGGGACAGAGATGGGGAGAGGATCAGGGAGCCTGAACATGTGGGGAGACAGAGACTGAGAGAGAGACACTACAAGAAAACCATTCCTCTACTCACAACCCTTCTGACACCAAATGTGTGGGGTTTCCTCGCCCACACCGAAACCAGTTCTCCAACTCTGCAGACACCAGCTGGGTGTCCTCTAATTCGATTCAGTGCTGACACTGACTACCCTGAGGTAGTCCCCCAAAGGATGGGGGGTGGGGCTGAAAGGTCTAAGCTTCTAATCACGGCTTGGTCTTTCTGGTGACCAGCCCCAATCCTGAAGCTATCCAGAAGCCCACCAAGAGTCGCTTCACTGGAACAAAAGACACTCCGATCACCCAGGACACTCAGACCGATTTAGGAGTTCTGTGTAACATGCTCCTGTCACCCCCATCACTGAGGAAATTACAAGGGTTTTAGGAGCTCTGTGTCAAGAACCAGGAGCAGTTACCAAATATGTTTATTACATGGAAGATGCCAAGAGAGACCGAGGCCCGGAGAGAGGGCAGAAAGAGAGGGAGAGAGACTGACCGGGAGTCCCAGTGTTACAGGGGGAAATGGGACAAGGAGAGACCGAGAGACAGGACGGCAGAAAGGGAGACAGGCACACTCTGGTTGGGATGAAATGCTTCTGCAGGCCTACTCCCCCATCTTGGCAGGCTCAAGACATGAAGATTTTACCCTCCCAAACAGCCCCCCATTATCCTGCCCAGTGGCCCCATGACCCGACCTGGTCTCTCTCAGGCCAGCCTCCCGGGGCAGGTGGGTCAGACCATGCGCTCGGGCTGCTGAAGCTGCCAGCATGCCCCATCCCACCTCAGGCTGAGTCCAGCACCTGCCCAGGACCAGGCATGCTCAGGTCAAGGGGACCCAAGACCAAAGACAATCCCCAGGGAAGGGTACAAGTGCCTGGGGGCCAATACAGCGCTATGGCGAGGCACACGGGTTTCAGTATCACGATGTGTCAATGTGTCATCCACCTAATAGCTCTGTGACCTTGGGCAAGTCACATCACTGCTTCGACCCTCTGTTTCCCCACCTGTAAAATGGGGATAATAATGATAATATAGTCCTTGTTTTAGAGGATTGTGGTTTTATTGTGTTAAACGGACGTAAAGTGCTTAACATAAGCTCCTGACGCCTTATAAGCTCTCGGTAATTGATAGCTTACCCCTCTGGGGATGGGGGTGGCTAAAGGGACCAGGCCAGGGACCTGAACGTTTCTTAACTTAGGGGCCTTAGGAACTTCACAAAACCTCTCTGACACTCAATCTCCTCATCTCTGGAGTGAGGCTAGCACCCCTCACCTGCCGACTTCACAGGAGGACAGAAAGCTTTTGAGAAATTCTGAAGTCCAGACAGTGGCATAATGGGGGCCCGGGCCAGTGGGTCTACGGCTCCCCCTCCAGAAAAGAAGCTCAGGTCCTTGGGCACCCCAGGAACACCAGTGGAGGGTGGCCCATCCTTGGCTAGCTGACCTCTCCTTTGCCACTAGCTGGATTGTCAACGCCCCCTGCTGGTCAGGTGAGGATGGCCCCAGTGCCGCTTCCAGGAGCCAGTGATGCTGGAGCCGGGGCTCACTCTCACTGGGCGTCAGAAAAGCAGGACTGCTCCCTGGGACTGCCTAGGTCTCACCTACTGGGTGACCGAGGCCACAAATTCAGTGAGTACCCCATGGCCTGTCTCAGGCCACCAACAACCATGACCATTACTAAGTGATGTGTGCTGATTATGGGGCAGCGTGCTAAGTGCTCTGCATGCATTATCATTTCACCCTCCTAACGACCTGTGGAGTTAACACTGTTAGTATAATAAATTATAATACCTATTTTACAGATGAAGAAACAGACTCAGAGAGGCTGGGTAACTTACCCAAGGCCACACAGCTAGGAGGGGGCGGGGCCAGTTTTACTACCCACATCTGGCTGGCTGCTGAGTCCTGCTACCTCAGGTACAACCCAGGCCTCTCTCGGAGAAGGTGACACAGGCGTGAGCTGGGCAGACAGGGATGATGTGCTGTCCCGACTGGTCTAACATGGGGACAGGAGGCAGCTGGCACCAGGGAAGGCATAGGGAGACCTAGTGCTACTTTGCCCACTTGGCTGCTCTGCGACCTTCAGCCAGCCCCGTGCCCTCTGGCCTCAGTTGCCTCATCTATAAAATGAGAATATTGCTCCACATGACTGGTGGCCCTTCCTGCCTCTGATTCCCTCCCCCCCCCCCCCCACCCCTACGCCCCCCCCCCCATCAAATCGGTAATCTCATTTATGATGCAACTTCACAGCACTCTAACTAAAGCTTCTTAGTCTGGGATCCCTGGATGTCTCAGCCTCCATGAGCTGCCTAGAATTACGAGCAAAATTGCATATGAGTGTGCGTGCCCGATGTGCATTTTTCTAGGGAAAGTCTCCATATTATCAGATTTTAATCCCCAAAGGCTAAAAGCCATTGATTATTCTAACCTTTTAGAACCGCCCTAATCTCGATCTAAATTTTTAGGGGAATGAGTCGAGAAAGTTGAGTCTCTACCGTGTAAAATTCTTCCCTTCGCTGTGTTTAAAGCGCCCTCAGTCTTCCTGGAGCCGCACCTGCTCCTGGCACCCCAGCCTTCCAGGCTCCAGCCACACCGACCCATGGAGACCCCCGCCCCCAGTGCTTCCGGTTAGTCTCCGCCTCCGCGCTGAAGCTCCCATCCGCTCTCTGTCCGGTCCTTGCGAGTCCTCACCCCCATGTCCATGCCCGGACCAGCAGCGCCAGGACTGGCGGGTCTTTCGGGAGGTAGGTGCAATGACCAGGATGGCCAGTAGGGGTCGCAGGGCGGACGAACCCCGTGGAGCATCCAAAGGCAGAATCTCGGCGTCCTGTTGGCCGCGGTGGCAGCCTGAGTGTGCGGACAGGGGAGCAGCGGTCAGGCCTGGGTTCTGGGTCTAGAGCTTCCTCTCGGTAAGCCTCAGTGTCTCCATCTGCAAAGTGGAAGAAGGTAGCCTGGATCCCCTAGATGGTTGCTAGGCAACCTTCCTTCACTGAGGTCTTGCGGAGCTTTCCGACTGAGACTGGAGGGAGGGGGCTGTCTTGAACTCCCCTTGGCAGAAGCACTTGGCCCAGCATCCTTAGAGAACGGAACAAAATGACCCCCGGGTCCTCTCCCAGACTTGACTGAGAAAACAGAGCCCATTGTCCTGCAGCTTAAGGGAAAGCCTAACCCCTGGGAGAAAGGAGGTTTCCAAAGAAGGCTGCCCCAAGAGCTGTCTGGGTGGTGAGGGAAACGAAGACCCCACTGGAGGCCTCCCAGGAGCGGGCCGGGGCCTTGAGATCAGAGCTCATGGGGCCTGGGTGATGGGTGGCAGCCTCCTGGGGTACAGCTGCTGCCCATGTCTGGAGAAGCCCAAGCAGGCTCCAGTGGGAAAGGGGAAAGCGTCGTCCTGCCCTCAGCAGCTGCAGGCCCCGGGAACAGGGCTGGAGCCTGGATCACCCTCCTCCCTCAGCTGCTAGAGGTCTTCCTGTCCCAGTGCTTCTGAATCCTCCCTCTCCATCAGCTCCAAATTCTGGGCCCAGAGAGAACGGAGTGAAGGCCCGGGGATGAGGGAAGGCCCTGCAGAGATACACGGGGTGGGGGTGGAGCGACGTGCCAACCATCCATCCCAGGACTGCTCCAAGGAATAGGACCAAATCCTCACAGGTACAGACTCTCCTCTCCCCCACCCCACCCTCTTGCTCTCTTCACCCCTCCCCTCTCCCACCTCCAAATGACTAAAGAACAAGACACAGGCATGACAATGATGCAGAACGTTCTCTACAAAAGTGATAATGAGCCTGCGGGAGGGGGGCGTTGTACAGTGGTGAGAATCTCGGAGCCCACCCCACCCCGGCACAGGGAAAACCGGGAGGGGCTGAGGCGGTGCGTGAACAGAGAACAGGAGAGAAAGTTCAGCACGTGGGGCTCCAAGAAGGTGGAGTCGGCACTTGGGGGGCCCCAGACCCAGGCCCAGGCCCAGAGGGCAGGGAGAAGAATAGGGTGGGCACAGGGTGGCAGTGGTGGGCAGCCAAGTCCTCAGAGTGGGAACAGGGACCACCTCCATCACCGCCAGCTCTGGGCATGTGTGTGGAGGGAGGCCCACACACAGACAGACACATTAGAGGGAGGCCTGTGGCATTCTTCAGGGGTTGTCTTCCCCCTGCCCCAGCCAGGGGGGCCCAGCAAGGAGCTGGGGGCTGCGGCAGTGCTCCCGGCAGCAGCTGCTTCCCAAGCTGAAGGTCAGGGATGCGGGTCCGTTGCTGACAGAGGAGGAAGAGCACAACTGCGTGGGGATGTGTCTGTGCACACACGTCTGTGCGGGCTCCTGAGTGACTCTCCCACATCTGTGACCTCAGTCTGACTGTAGAGCTAAGGACACAAGTTTGAGGACCCTCTTGGGCTGGCCTTTCCCCTGGTGTCACCACCATCACAGAGCAGGGACACACGCTGAGCTCTTGCTTACCCACTATCCATGCAGAACCATTCAGTGCCCACCTCTTCCAGACCTCGAGGGAAATCCACCAGCCAACCTCAACACAGACACACACAGGCACAGAGCCCTGGGGCCCTGGGGACAATCTGCAGTTTAGACTGTCCACATCCTCAGGCTCCCACAGTGTCCACCTGGCAGGACTTGCCCGTAGTAGGGTGGACACCCAGCCACACCTAGTCTCCACCTGTCTTGGGCCTGGGCAACTCTAAGGCAGCTGGCTTTCTCCTCCAGCCAAGAGAACGCCTGCCAGGCCTGGGCGCCGTAATACTGCAGCCGGTTGCTCTAGCACCTTGCATCTATTGTCCTGACCCTCTGGGCTCCCTAGGGGGCCAGGCTGCACAACCAAGCAGAGGGAGGATAGAGGAGGACAGGGTGGGAAGGCAGAGGCAGGCTGGGCCCCGCCCCAGGGTGAGCCCAGGGGGTACCAGTCACCCCCACCAGCCCCAGCCTGGCACTCCAACTCCACGGCAAGGCCAGTGGGAGAAGGAAAAGGGGGCTGGCTGTGCTTGGGGCGGGGTGGGGACTAAAGTCAGGGCATTTGGCTGAAGAGTCTAGTTGGGGACCTCCTCTCTGGGGTGTATGGGCAGAGGGGAGGCAGCCAAAACTCTTCCCTTCACAAAAATGTAGGAAATGAGCAAGTCTCCAGCCTGAGCACACAACAGGATCCTCAGAGGAGGGACGAAGAGAGACAACGGCCCCTGGGACAGGCCGCACCCACCCCCTGCCATATACACACTCTCATCAGCTCTAATGGGCACGTCGTCTAGTCTCCAGGGTCCCAGTGGCCCTGCCCTTCCTCTGGGGCTGGCCTTCCACAAATCCACATGTCCTTTAGGGCCACCGGGATGGGAGTGGCTCAGGGGCTTCAAGACCCCTCAGAATTGACGTTCTACGATGCTCTCTTGCCCTTCGGGGTGCCTCCAGGCCACACCCTCTGCCGCAGGCTGTGGACAGGCTTTCAAGGGAGATGACCCATGTGGTCCTTGCTCCTGGGAAGGGCTGGGGGGCTGCAGGGCTGGCGACTGAGGACCTTGTGGCCCCACTGTGGGTTGTGGCAACTTGCAATTCATTTTGGTCTGGAGAAAGGAGCCCCGGGTTATCTGTGGAGAAAGAGACAGAAACAGACCTCAGATAAGGGCCCTCGAGACATCATTTTAAACTAGGATCATTTTCACCTACCCTCTCTGGGCAGGCTGATGGTCAGGGATGGGGACACCGGCCTAGGGGTGCCCTCCCCATCCCCCAAACTCTAACCCAGACTGCCTCCCCACACCACCCCTGCCGGGCCATGCAGGGTAAAGGTTATCAACACCAAAAGCAGGCAGCAGGATTTGCTGGGCTTGTGGGATGCCCTGAGGGAGGGTCAGAGCAGGGACGGGCCAACAGCACGGCCAGTGTGGCAGCAGCCTTGAGCTTCCCACGATGGCTTCTCGAACGTGACAACTCTGCCCTCCAAGGCCGCTGTTGGCCCTGTTGAGAGCATTTGCTCATGTTCCTGGTTACAGGGTTCAGAGACCAGCAGGTACAACATCTGCCTTGAGGGCTCAGGCAACTGGGGAGACAGCTGGCTGCCACACCCCCCATCCCAGGGGAGTCACCTTGGCCTCAGGCCCTAGAGCCACACAGACCAGGGATCAAGCCCAGCTCTGCAGCAAACAGCAGCACCTTGGGTGAGCTACTCTAACCCGCTGAGCCTCCACTTGCTCACCTGTAAAATGGGGATGAAACTGCCTCTGCACATGGGAGTTCAGGAGGATTAAATGAGGGGACACGAACAAGGGCATCTCCAGTACCCAGGAGGTGGGAGGGCTCAAAACATCCCAGCTGTGGTTATTACCACTACTGTACCTCATCCACCCGTTTTCCACATTTTGATATCTCCAAAATCGAGGTGCATTTTACCTCAGCCATGTAAACTGGCAGTTCCTTTTTCTGAACTGGGGGTAAATACAATAAGTAGGGCCTCTTGTAATTGATGGTGACTTCAATTTTATGAAACATGGTATCATCCTCCCTCCCACCCCTGAAAAGACAGACACACACACGCGCATGCACACGCACACACACACACACCGCCTTCCAACCCCTTTCTTCCCATCCCCCCAAGACTCTGGGCACTCACAGCTCTGTGTCCTCCAGGACGGGCGGGCGCTCCAGCGCCTGTCTCCGCCTTCGCACGGCCCCCAGGATCTTCTTGCGGGGCCCCAGGGGGACGCTGATGCTGCGGAGGTCGAGGTCCGAGCACAGCATCAGCGCCTCGAGGTCGATCTTCTCCTGCCGCAGGAGGGAGGCGAAGTCTTCCATGTGTAGGGAGGCCAGGAAGGTGTCCAGCGGGCTCGTCTCGGGCTCCAGGTCCTCATCCAGGCCCAAGTCCAGCTCGTCCCAGGGCAGCTCCTCCCCGCAGCTGCGGTCCTGCAGGCTGTTGGCACTGCCCAGGCTGTCGTCGTCCAGGCTGGGGGAGCTCTGCAGCCGACCCCGCGGCGTGCCCGCGCCGTCCAGCGCGGCATCCTCGCGGCCCAGCCCGTGCAGCCCGCTGCTCAAGTAGTTTCTGCGGAAAACCATGGTGCCCAGGCCGGGGCGGGTAAACAGGGAGTCGTGGCCTGAGTCGGTGCTGACCTCCGAGTGGGCCGGCTCGGCCGCCAGTGTGGCACGGGAGACGCTGTCCTCGTCGGAGAGGAACATGTCCCTGAGCGGGGAGCGGCCCCACTCCTTGGGGTTGGCGTAGGTGCCCTGGCGCACGAACATCACGTCGCTGCCCAGCTGCAGGCCCGAGAGCGAGCGCACGCTCTTGCGGCCGTCCTCCGAGATCTTGAAGGTGCCCTCGCCGCCCTGCTTGCGCCGCTCTAGTTTCCGCTGGATCTTGGTCTTGCCCCTGGTGGTGCCGTGCAGCGTGGCCTGCGAGTAGGGCAGGTGGCTGCCCAGCGCCAGATGCTGCAGCCGGCGGCTCAGGGTGCTGGACGTGAGGCTGGAGAAGCTGAGCGTGTCGGACCGCTCGGCCAGCTCGCGCCGGTAGCGCCGCTCCATGCGCTCGTGGTGCTTGCGCTGCAGCTTGACGCACTCGCGGATGCGCCGCTCCGCCTCGCGGAAGGCCTTGTCCTTCAGCTTGCCCACCAGTTTGGGGTTGAGGCTGCTCTGCTTGGCCGCGATGGAGTCCAGGTAGCGCACGCACTCCATGTGGCCCTTCATGGCGGCCATGTCCAGCGGCGTGTGGTAGTCGTTGTCCAGGCACCAGATGTTGGCCCCGAAGGACACCAGGAAGGAGAGGCAGTGCAGGTGGCCATTGGAAGCTGCCAGGTGCAGCGGCGTGTTACCCCAGATGTCACACTTGTCCGGGTCACCCCTGCAAGGAGGACACGTGGTGGGTGGTGATGAGCCGTCCCAAGCTCATGCAGGTAATCGGCAGTGGCCGCAGGTGTGGGGAGCTCCCAGCCTGGTGGAGCTTCCCCACAGGCACACCAGAGGGACCTGAGCGCCTGAGATCCCTCCTCTGAGTCCAGGAGACACGCAGCCCTGAGCCACCAGACGGACCTAGAGTGAGCACCTGCGTTTCGGGGTTGGGGGGATGGCTCCAGGCTTGCAGGGGGTGGGGCGACAGAGAAGGCGGGGCCAGGGCGGGGCTTTCCCCAAGAGAACTGAGTGCTGGGAATCTCAGGGGATTAATATTTGATGCCCAGAGAGAAAGGAGTGAATTATTCATGGGGCCCAGCGGGGAGATGGCCCCGAGAGGTGGTGGGCCAGGCCGAGTCTGGGTCTCTAGGCAGGCCTGGTGGTGAGTGTGGCTGCATGTGCAGGAGTGACCCTAAAAAAGGAGGAGAGTTTGGTGTATGCTGGGCCTGAGCCCTGGGTGAGTGTGTGTTAGGGTATGTGCCTGCGTGTCAGCGGGCACGGCCATGTCTGCAGGGAGCAGGGCCAGGCCTGGCAAGGCCTGTGCGAGAGCAGGTGTCAGATCTTGGCCTGGGCCCGGAGGGGAGCGTGGGGGCAGCCAGGACTGGTGGGGAGGAGGAGGGAAGTCTGCACCACAGCCCAGCCACTTCTCCCTCCCCCAGCTGCCCCATCTTTGGGACCCCTCTGAGGCAGGCAGGCTTGGGCTTGTGCAGGGGACCCACCCGGGACACTCCAACACCCTCCCCACCAGACCATGCCCCCTTGGGCATGCTCCTGTTGGCTCCTCCAAGCTCTCCCCTCCCTCAGAGGCCTAGCTCAGCGCCTCTGCCCAGCGCTAATGAGGCCATGAGGCCACTCCACAGGGCGGGAGGAAGAATCGCCCCCTTGTCTCAAGAGCTCCCCCCACAACCTCCTCCTCACTTGCCCTACTGGTCGCCAAATCCTGCAGGACAGTGTGAGAAGGAGCAGTTCAGCATCTGACCCACACCCCATCAAACACCAACACTTGCCCCCTATAGGAGTTGGGGATTTGGTGCACGGAAGGGGCACCCTCTTCCCCTCCTCCACGAATGGCTCTGAGGCAGGGGCAGGATGGCAAGATCACTGTATGTCCTCTTGGCATGGGTAGGGGCCAGTCTTGGCTTCTTGGAAATGGCTCAGCTGCCTGGTCTTGGAGGCTGCTGCTGGAGGGAGGGCAAGGGGGGTTCCCCACCCACCACATGCTCAGGCCACAGGCCAGCACCAGTCACCAGGGCCAGCCAGGCGTCTTCCACTCCACCATGATTTCCCAGGGCCTGAGATGTTCACATTAACCCTCCCGGGGCATCTCTTCCACTCCTTTTCCCTGTCCAGGCCATCTTGGCATCCAGTTCAACCGGACTTCTCTTTATAAGACTGCTGGGGCTGGGGGAGTTGTCCATAGTGTCATTCAGCCCTGGGGAGACCACGTCAGTGGCCTTGGATCCTGCATTCTTCAACGGCTACCTCCAAACCCCTTCCCTGGCCCTGACACCTGGACTCTACCCACTGCTCCCCTAGACAACTCCAAAGGAAGGGTGAAGGGGCCTGCGGTGGGGGAGGGGCACAGAGGGAGTTAATGGGGTGGCTGAACCCAGTGACATTTGGTACTGTGGACAGCACCCATCAATCCTAGGCATGAGCGGGGAGAGAGCTGTGGGAGCCAGCCTGGGGGGAGGGGTGGGCGCTGGCTGGAGAGCACTTGGGATCCCAGGCTGTGGGGTGGGCAGTGAAGAGCTTCTCCTTTCCTAGCCCCACTCAGGCTGCTCTGAGGCTCCGCCCTTCTCTCCCATCCTCACTCTGCTCTACGCTCTTGCTTCCAGGTGCCCCTTCAAGAGACCTCTCCCACCTTACCCTCTGCAGCCCCTCCCACAATCAAGGACACCCAAATCCCAGTCCCTCCCCTCCTGGCCCCACATCCAGGTCACAAGTGTCACACGCCTCAGCTTGTGTCCCCCTCCCACGACTGCCAGGCTCCAAGGTCCCATCTTAGGGTCTGTGGGTTGGGAAGAGGGCGCCTGAGACGAGGGGGGAAACAGATGCCATGGAGTCTGGGGGGCGGGCCATCTCAGGGGCCTGGAGCAGCCCAGAGACTCTCTTTGCCCTCCCCTGCTGGGCTCCATGGGGGAGAGAGGGGTACTCACCCGCGGCTCACGATGAGGCGCAGCGACTCCAGGTTGCCATGGTAGGCAGCCCAGAGGGTGGGGGTCATGCCATCCTCGTCGGGGGCGTTCAGCTCCTTCCTGGTGGCCTCTTTGAGGAGCTCCAGATAGCCGTCCCGGGCCGCCCGGTGGTACTGGTCATTCATGGCGCCTGACTTGGACGGGGCGGGCAGGGGGCACGGGGAAATGCCCTCCGCGGGGGAGGGCGGAGGGGTTAGGGCTGAGGCATGGGGTTGGGGGAGGGGCCTGGGCAGGGGCCGGGGCCGCCAGCCCCCGCTGCCGCAGACGGAGGATGCAGAGCTCCAGAGCCGCCGCTACGAGGACATCTGAGCCGCTCTCCAGGCGGGCGGGGAGGGAGGGGTGTGGGGGGGTGTCTCCCGCTGCCCAGGGAGCCGCCCCCAGGCTGCCCCTGGGTCCTAAACACCCTGCTCCCAAGCGCACAGAGATGACCCACGCAAGGCCCTGCTCTCGCTCCAAAGGCGCCCACTCCAGCGCCCCGCCCCATGAGGCCCAGTCTGGGAAGAGTTCAGGGTCTATCCTCACTAGAGCCCCAACGCTGCGCCTCCAGATGTCTCCACCCGTCAAGGGAACGGGCCAAGGGCTGGGCAGAGGTGTCTGAGGGCAGTCCTTACCCCTAGGGCAGTGGGCCTAAGAAAGGTCTGAGGACTGCCCGCCAGACAGCGAGTTGGACGCGGCTGCCGGGTCCGCCGCCGCTCGCGCGGGCTGGGGAAGCCGCGCTCCAGCAGGGGGCGCTAGAAGACCGGGAGCGGACTCGGGGCGCAGCTGGGGAACTTCGTACCCAGGACCGCCTTCGCAGCATCCAGCGGAGCAGAGGACAGTGGGGAGGGATAGAGGAAGAGGGAACTTCGGTCACTGCGAGGGTGTCAGGAAAAGGGGCACTAGGGTCCCGATCTTGGGGCTGCAACAGAGGAGCACAGAGGTATAGGACGCTCCAGGGCTGGGAGAGCGTCGGGTGCCTGCGGGCCCTTGAGGTGTCTATTGAGCATCAGCTCTCGGGGCTCTGGGTGGCCTAGATCTCGGGACGCCAGGGCGCGGTGGGCGCAGGCTGCGGGGTGCCCTCTGGGTGCCGCAGTGCGGGGCCGCGCCCGAGCTGGGCCGCGCCAGGTGACAGGGCGGCGAGGGAGGGGGTGCCTCTTAAAGGGTAAATATAAATCTCACCTTATCTGGCTCCCGCGCGCTCTTCCCTAAATTCAGCTCGGAGAAAAGATGGATCATGTGAGTGGGACTGAGAGGTTTATGGAGCTGAGCTCCCGCGGCTGTAAATCACCCTGCCCTGCCCGGTATAAAGCGCCCGTCCAGCCCGGCGTGGGAGAGAGGAAACGCTCGCCGCCCTCTGACCCCCAGCTCAGCGCGGGCTCCCGGCCCAGCCAGGTGGGTCCCCGGGCCAGAAGGCAGAGGGATTTGGGGAGTGGGGACCGTGGACGGGGTCCGACGAGGCTACCGCCGCTTCTCCTATTCCCCCGTCGGGGGCGAGACCCGCAGGGCTGGCTTTTCCCTTCCCTCTCCGCGCCTCCTCCACCCCCGCAGCTCCATCCTCCATCCTCCATCCTCCGAGCTAGAAACTTCCCGTCCCCAGATCTTCGGGATAAGACCCCGAAGGCTGACCTGGGGTCCTGTCGGCTCCTCCCCCACAGTGACCCCTTCAACCTCCTCCAGTCGCCACTGCCATGTCCGAGGAGCTGGCCCCCGGCCCCACCGAGAGCCCGCCGGCGCCGCGGGCAGGCCCCCGCGAGGTGTGGAAGAAGGGCGGCCGCCTGCTGTCGGTGCTGCTGGCCGTGAACGTGCTGCTCCTCGCCTGCACGCTCATCAGCGGTGGCGCCTTCAACAAGGTGGCGGTGTATGACACCGACGTGTTCGCTCTACTCACCACCATGATGCTGCTGGCCGCGCTCTGGATCCTCTTCTACGTCCTCCGCACCGTGCGCTGCCCTGAAGCGGTCCCCTACCGGGACGCGCACGCCGGCCCCATCTGGCTCCGAGGTGCCAGGAGAGGTGGGGGCGGAGGTGGGGTGGGCCAGGCTGGAGGCTGGAGCTCTTGGAGGAATCACTGAGCGCACGTCAAGGTAGAGGGGAGAGAAGTTCCCCCCAGAGGACTAGAGGACTAGATGTGAGTGAGGGTGAGGTGGGCTGCAGTTGGAGAAAAGGAAGGGAAAGAGTTTTGGAGGAGGGATGGAAGGGAACTTCTTTGCCCTGTCTAAAGATTGAAAAGGGGGGATCACGAGAGAGCCTTTGATGGAGAGCTGAAAACAGATGATAGCCCATCTTGGGCCCTTCCCTTTATCTATGCAGCCCCAAAGAGATGGTAGCTCAGTAGGACATCCATCCACCCACCCTCTCAATCATATACTCTTCCTTCCTTCCACCCATTCATCTTTCAATCCATCCATTCACCGATCCACCTATCCATCCATCTATCACCCACCTATCCACCTATCCACCAAACCATCCATCCACTCACCTATCCATCCACCTATCCATCCATCCATCCATCCATCCATCTATCCTCTCACCTACCCCATTCATCCATCCATCCACCCAACCATCCAACTACCCACCCATCTAGCCATCCGCTCTCAGATGTATAAACCTTCTCTCCCATTTCTCTGACTCCCCAACACCACCCCTCATTCCCAGGTGGGCTGGTGCTGTTTGGGATCTGCACTCTCATCATGGATGTCTTCAAGACCGGCTACTACTCCAGTTTCTTTGAGTGCCAGTCAGCCATCAAGATACTCCACCCCCTCATCCAGGCTCTGTTTGTCATCATCCAGGTGGGTGAGAGGAGTGTCCTTGAGTGTAGTGGAAAGGAGCCAACACCTGGCATGGCTCAGGAGACCTGAGTTCCGCTCCTCTTCTACTCTGAGCAAACAAATAAGGTGGGGCTAGGAGTGTAGTGGGGATCATATGAGTCCATAAATCTGGGAGCACTTGGAAATGAAGTAATATCCAAATGTGAGCTCCTACTTAGGGGTCCTGCGATTTCATTCCAACCTGAGCAGTGCCAGTAGTTGACACCTAGGAGGTGTGAGTTGTGGCAGCTGCCCTGTCTCCTAGAACATGGCCTGCCCACCCTGGGTGCCCGTAGAAGGCATTAGTCTCAGCCCCAGGTCCCGCTGTGGGCGTAAGTGGTCTGGCCTCACCCATGGCCCCTATGTACTTGTTCAGGAAATAGCTTATCCTGGACCTGGGATTTTTCAAACAAGTTCAAACATGTATTTTTTTTATCTGTTTCATAAATAACACTTTGAGAGACTTCTGATGGAGCTAGGCAGGACTGATCTTATGTAAGACCAGAACAGACCCCAGCCCTGTACCATGACCAGGATGACCACATGTATGGTTCCCTCTCCTGAGATATCACCCCTGCTGCCAGCTTTCCACAATGCAACACATTTATGACTTTGGTATTAATATAGTTTTAATCTCACATTTTATGGGTTAGAAGAATACTCAGGCAAAATGAAAATATAAATACCCCCACATCAACAAATACCATAGCAAAGATTTGTTGGCAGCCAGATGAGGTGAGGCCCTACAGGGCAGCAAAGGATGAGGATGGGCAGGAGATGTTGCCAAAGAGAGGTGAGAGGTCACCAGAGACTCTTTCTACTTTGGACAAGACCTAGCCTAAGGCTGGCCTTGCTCCCAAGAATAATAACTAGGCAATCAAAATTACTTGACCTCTACCCCGCAAAAAGCAAAAAACATCAAAACCAGGGAGTTTACAGTTGATATCTCGCCAACTTTTAAAGAAGAGAGTACTATTTTATGCGAATTGTTCCAGAGAATAGAAAGAGAGAAAGCTTGCCATCTCGTTTTGTAAAGCTAAAATAAACTCAAGAACTTAGTATGAGGGCTCTTGAGGTAGAGAGAACGTACTGCTGGGCGCGGACGTGGGCACTGTGGATGCCCGTCTGCGTCGTAAGCGACCTCACCACTCTCTCTCAACACAGACTTACTTTCTCTGGGTCTCTGCTAAGGACTGTATTCACGTCCACCTGGATCTGACCCGGTGAGTTCCTGTTCCACAGTTCCACGTCCATGATGCCACTGCTTTCCTTGCATGAGAGACGAACGCATGGGTCCTCTTTCTGCCCCCTGGGTGGACTTTCAGCCAAGGCCCCTTTGCTTTGTCAACCTGATTTCCACCACCCTGTTCTCCGTGTGTGTTGTGTGTGTGCCCACACATCCACCTGCATGTGCTTTGATGGAGCGGGTTGTATAATGCATTATATGTTCTTTCCTCTAGGAGAGGGAGCAGAAATGGCCTGAGCCCCTGGACACCACCTGGTGTCCCGGGTGGCATCCCAGCCAGGCTAAATGTTCCTTCCAAACTCAGCTTCCCTGTTCACACAGGGCCCGACTGCTCTCTCGCTTTTCAGCACCATCTCCCACTATAGCTCCCCAGTTCTCCACCTTGCCAGGGACCCAAGATAAGCCAGACTCCCGGGCCTCTTTGCTGTCCCTCTTCAAACAGGTGTGGTCTCATGTTCACGCTCGCCACCAATCTGGCCATCTGGATGGCAGCCGTGGTGGATGAATCTGTGCACCAGGCCCACTCCGACAGCAGTTCTCACAGCAACACCAGCCACAGCCGCCTCGCTCCTGACCGTGAGTGCCCACTTCAGATTAATCCTGGTCCTGTGACTCCCAGGCCTTGGGCTGGGTGCTCTGAGGGTTTGTAGAGTCAGTCTCTGTGCCCTTCTCCTGCTCCAGGCTCTGACTCTGGAGAAGATAGGTGTAAGTGACCCAGGAGGAAGAGTATCAGGGGCATCTTCTCATCCTGGAGGATGCAGCCTTGGCCCCACTGTCCAGGTCTCCATCCCACCAAGGCAGGGACTCGGGCTCCAGAATGAAAGGGCAAGGGTGACCAAGCTAGAGAGAGGGCAAGGGGGGTAGCATGGTGGCTCGATGGTGGAAGCATGGGATCTGATGGGAAAGCCTGGCAGAGAGAGGCTAGAAATAATACTCACGATGACAGTAGTGACGATTCACTGAGCTCGATATGTCAGGCGCTGTGCTAAGTGTCTTGAACACTCTCTCTTCTTTGAGCCTCACAAATTCCCTATGAGATTTTACATTTTACAAATGCAGAAACGAAGGCAGAGAGAGGCTAAGTAGCTTGCCCAGGGTCACAGAGCTTGACACTGGAGAACTAGAACCCATCTTTGCTTTTAACCAATATGCTATACTGGAGAAGAATGGGGTCCACAGTCCCCCTGGCTCTAGTTTTCTGGACATCTCTAGGGCCCTCCGCTAGCCAGGGCCAGACTAGATGACTAAGTCCATCTGGGCTTCATCTGAAGACACATGCACACCCAGTATGGGAGAGTCCAGGAACAGAAAACATGGTCCTAGTCCTCTTGGAGAACCCAGCCCAGCAGGACTGATAAAGGGCCACCTTGCACATAGAGAGGGCTCCTGAGAATGGTTAAAACCAACCTGGGAAGGTGAACAATTTAATTTGCTGGAGCCATGGGGGCGCAGAGAGGCATGCTGGAGCGTACCTGCCCCGGGGTTGGGAGTCAGGTCGTTCGCGTTAGCTCTGCCGTCACAAGACGCTTTACCTCATTGAGCCTCAGTTTCTTCATCTGCAGAACCAGCTGGGATGGTTCTGGGGCTCAAAAGAGATGTTTGCCAAGGTCCGTGGCAAGTCAAAAAGCATGCTCTGGGGCAGGACAAGATTCCTATCGGTGTGGTACAAACTGAAGGGACAGGAGGTCATGGTTGAGACCTGGCCACAGCAGCCACTTTCTGAGCTGAGTCAGAGGCTGGGGAGAGCTGCGAGGAAGCTTGAGCCGCAGGGCTTCCCACGAGGGGCACCTTCTATCAGGACCAGAACCTCGCCTATCTCAGGGACCCACGGGTCATTACTGGGGGTGGGAGGGTGGGGAGTGTTTTCCTGAGGGAATGGAATGGGATGAAGTAGGCAGTTCTGCAGTTCAGATTTTCTTTTTGATTGAGCACTGGCTATTGTTTACCGACGTGTCCCACAATCTCTGGCATACAGTAGGCGCTCAATAAAAACTTACGGCATGGATGAACATGCCGGGCCCCGTGTAGGTGAATGGGATGTAGTGGTGAATATGGCCGAGACTCTGCCCTTACAAGGGTCACAGTCTAGGGGTGAGGCTCTTCAGACGGGGTGCCTCCAAGAAGGCAAGGGGCAGCGCAGCTCTGTGCCTGTCTCCACAGCAGAGCGTGCGGGCAGCCAGGTCGGAGAGGACTGCTCCTGCAACACGGCCGTCTGCCAGATCTTCCAGCAGGGTTACTTCTACCTGTATCCCTTCAACATCGAGTACAGCCTCTTTGCCTCCACCATGCTCTACGTCATGTGGAAGAACGTGGGCAGGCTGCTGTCCTCCTCCACCCACGGCCACGGCCACGGCCACGGCCACAGCCCATCGCGGGTCAGCCTCTTCCGGGAAACCTTTTTTGCCGGCCCAATCCTGGGCCTGATACTCTTCGTGGTGGGGCTGGCCATCTTCATTATCTACGAGGTCCAAGTGAGTGGGGAGGAGGGGCGCACCCAGCAGGCCCTGGTCATGTACTACAGCTTCAACATCGCCTGTCTGGGGCTCATGACCTTGGTCAGCCTGAGTGGCTCCATCATCTACCGTTTTGACCGCCGGGCCATGGACCACCATAAGAACCCCACGCGCACCCTGGATGTGGCCCTACTGATGGGTGCCGCCCTGGGCCAGTATGCCATTTCCTACTACTCCATTGTGGCCGTGGTAGCGGGCACACCCAGGGACCTGCTGGGGGCACTCAACTTAGCCCACGCTCTGCTCATGATTGCCCAGCACGTCTTCCAGAATGTGTTCATCATCGAGAGCCTCCACCGGGGCCCGCCTGGGGCCGAGCCTCATGATACGCCCCACAAGGAGCCCTGCCACGGCCTCACCTTTGCAAACCTGGATGCCCTCCATACCCTGCCCTCCTGCCCACCCACCCCTACGTTGGCTGGCTCCAGCCCAGCAGGCCCTCCGGAAGCAGTGGCCATCATCTTGGCACCCGAGGGCCACTGGAGACGCCGGTGCCTGAAGGATATTTCTCTGTTTCTCCTGCTGTGCAACATCATTGTGAGTAACTAGGGGGAGATGGGGGTGGGCTGGGAGAAAGAGAAGGCCAAGGAAAGATGCTCTTTCGCTTTACTTTCTTGGCTGTCTCTGTCTTGTCCCCCAGCCCACTGGAGAATCTTATGGCTCTCTAGGAAATGAGCGGGTTCAGAGAGGGTCGGGTGCAGCCCCCAAGCCAGCAGCATCTCAGGGCTCATAGAGAGAATGAAATCCCAGCATTCTGGCATCTAGGCAGTGGATGGAGCTGGAGGGGTCCCGGGGAGTGCTGACATGGGGGCTGGGCAGAGGTGAGAGGGAGCTGTGAGAGCTGATGTGGAGGGAGGGGCCCTCACCGCCGGGTGGGAGGTGTGACTGCTCCCCAGAACTTGTGACCAGTCTGCTTCTCAGAATAATTGGAGCAGCATCAGGAAGTAGCAAGCAGCAGAGCGGAGCTCACCAGTAAGTGTGAGTGGTCTGTCAGCCGAGTACAGTGGCAGGCTGGCCGGGAGGGGGAGCGTCCACAATGCCCCCGCCCTGCATCCCCACAGCCCACTCCCCAGTGATTTAGCAGAGCCCCTTACTAAGAGAAACTCCTCTGTATAGCAACAGTCTTCACCCAATAGAGACTTCACTTCCTGCCGAGGCCCCATCCAAAGGCTGAAAGTCACCTTTGGGTAGGCTATTTTTGCTCCAGGTATCCGTTCCTGGATCAGCTCCGACTCCTTCATTTTAAAGGATAGAAACAGGCTCAGAGAGGGGCTGTGATTTGCCCAAAGATGCAGTTAATTAGGGTTGGGAGGGTGGGGCTAGCCTAGAAGTCTTTGTTCTTTGCCCATACCCCACACCAGAACCTTCTGAGCTCAGAGCAGAGATGAAGCAGGATTCCGGGTTCAACCTCCTCCCAGACCTGGGAATGGGGCAGGGAGTGGGGATGGAGCTGGAGCAGGGAGCTCATAAAGGGCTGGGTGGGGTGGCCTTCTGGCTGGATCCTGACCCCCTGCCCTGGGCCTGATTCCACCGCCACCCTGCACACGTCTCTCCAGGAAAGAACTGCTGATTTAGCCATTTGTACCAAATTCTCAAGTCATCTGTTGAAACCTCTTCCCCCCCCCACCCCCGTCTTACTAACAGGGGGGGAGATGTGATCACAGGGGAGCTCTGGCCTGGGGGTGGGCAAGCTCACTTGGCCACATTTCTTGAGCTCCTTAGTGAGTGCCAGGCCCCGCCCGAGATGCTGGAAGTCCCCACTAAGCAACACGGAGCCCTCGCTATCCACCAAAGTAGAGGGCTGGGAGCAAACTTCGTTGCTCCCCAGCAAAGGCAACAGAAATGAGCTGCAGGTGCCAGTCCTGCCCGGTCCTGACGCCCCCTCTCTCCCCACAGCTGTGGATCATGCCTGCCTTCGGGGCCCGCCCTCACTTCAGCAATACTGTGGAGGTGGACTTCTACGGCTACTCCCTCTGGGCAGCCATTGTCAACATCTGCCTGCCTTTCGGCATCTTCTACCGGATGCATGCTGTCTCCAGCCTCCTGGAGGTCTACGTACTATCCTGAAGCCCCCGACAGAGACATGGGGGGCCCTCGGCTCATGTGCGCACCCAGAGACCCTCGGGAATGAGCCCCAGGCTGGCAGTCACTGTGCCACATTGCCACCCATTGTCCTCTGGCCCCAGAGTGGGATTTTCACAGAAGTTATTTTTCCAGGACGGGTTTTTAAATCACAATCAGGACATGCCCATCCACCCCAACATGACCCTGGGGCGTGAGGCGACCAGGGACGGACACCTCTCCCTGCAGCACTTTTAGGACCAGGATCTGGAAGTGTCCGTGGTCCAGCTCCACCCCTAATCCCAGCCCTGTGGCCAGCCCTGCTGCCTGGAGCTGAGAACCAATAAACCTGCAGTCTGCCCACTGTCCCCCACTTCTTGTCTCAGCTGCCCCATCTGAAATGATCACAGCAGAGGATCTTGGGGATCAGAGTTGGAAGGGTCCCTGGATTTTCAGGTCTCAAGCCTTTCAGTGGGTGAGCCAAGTCTGAGTTACAGACCAGAGCCTGGGTGGCTGGGAGGGGCCGGGCAGAGTACCCAGGGAGCCACTTCCTCTTCCCTTTATCCTTAAGTGACATATGCATGTTTTATGGGTTCCTTCTTGCACAAAAGGTTAGGAAGGAGTGACCTAGTTCAACTACCATTTTACAAAGAAAGAAACTGAGACTTGCCCAAGGTCACACAGCTAAATAGCCAGAGCCTTTCTACTAAGAATAATAATTCTCAAACAGCAGAACTTTTTTTTTTTGTCTCAAATAAAATATTTAAGGAACCCAAGTTTATAATATAAACAGGGCTGTTCTAATTTGAGAGGGGTTGGGAGATGCAGACCCGCCCCCCAGGGCCTCCTCTTACCCACCACCCCTTTTCCCTGGGAGTCCCTGAGGCTGTCCCCCAAAGCCCTAGGGCTTCTACTGTACAAAAGGTGTAGAGATGGGCTGAGCAGAAAGAGAGACTGAGAGCGTAAGATGGAGCTGAGATTGAGAAGGAGGCCCCAACAGCTAGAAGAGGAGGAACTGGTGGCCAGCAGAGTCAGGCAAAGTGGCACAAGCTGGGTGGGGCCTGGGGTGGAGGAGATGGTGGAAGCAGGAGCATCTGGCGCACAGGGACTTCAGCTGAAAAGGTACCTGGACTCTACCAGCAGAATGAGGTGGGCGGGTCTCAGAGACTGCAGGAGGAGCTGAGGAGGCCCAGAGGGGGCACTTCCCACCCTACCGCCTCTTGCCCTGTCAGAATGGGGTGTCTTCTGCCCCAAGTTCACGTTTGACTTAGGGAGAGAGAACGCGCTGGGCCACATGGGGTAGCAGGTTGCTGAGACGACGCTGCATCCCAGCCTGGTGCTGGGTGGGGTACAGGAAAAAGCCACACCAGACCTGGGGGCCGTGTCCGTTCTCTGCTTGGCCGCCAGAGGAAAGTGTGGCTTGAATCCCGCAAGGCCTTTTCTGCGAGCCTAAGGACATTGCACCCCACCCCTCCCCACCCCAGAGGCGGGCCCCCCCGCTGGTCCCCTGCCCCTGAGGCCCCAGACTGCTCCGCCCCCAGCCCCGCCCGCCTATCCAGCCACCTCGCTATTGGCTGCAACGACCGGGCCAGAGCCCCCGAGGGGTAATTAACGAAAGATTAATGAGATCCCCAAAGTCAACAGAAAAATCAATGGGCCGCGGAGCCGGAGCGGCGGCTGCGCAATCCCGCGGGGGGGCGTCGGGGCCATCGGTCCGGGCTCGGGGGCCACACCTGGACGGACGATCGGCGCTGCGCCCGCAGTCGGTGGTGAGCCGATGGCAATGCCTGCCCAGGCCTCAGGTAAGGCTGCCCCGCGGTGCCATTAGGGCTGGCAGCGCCCTCCGACCGCCGGCGGAACATTTCGAGTGAGCCCACCCTGGACGCCCACATCTACTCCGCACCCAAAGCGGGGCAAGGACCGGCGGCTGCAGGGATCCAGGCGGGAGGGCGGGATGACTCTTGGGAAGCCAAACTCTGGTGACCCGAGCGCCGGTCCCTCTCTGCCCCCAACTCCGACCCGGCTCTGCGCCCCACCTGCTTTCCGCGGATGGGGGCACACAAAGGTCGGCAGGGTGCGCCCCGCCCCAGCCGGGTCCAGGCGCGCACAGCAGACAGGAGGCGCCGAGGCCAGCAAGAAACGAAAAGCCCGGACGGCTGGGAAAAGGGGTGTGGGTTGGGGCTGCCTGGACGCAGGTCTGAGGCATACTCCCCAGGCCCCGCAGTCCCTCGAGTGGCTCGGAAAGGAATTCCGAAGCTCCCCGGCCTGCGCTCAGCAGCCTCCTCCGGAGCTGGCCCTGCGCTCCTGGCCAGGCGCCTCGCCCCGACGGCTCCCGACTTTCGTCACCTGCCTCTGACAGCGACCTACAAACCAGTTTGGTGTCCGGGCCCTCCCTGGGGCTGGCGTCACGCCGAGGGGCGTGCCAGAGGGCGGCGGATTCCTCCTTGTCAGTTCCGGGCGTCCTCGCCCTCTTCCCGCGACCCTTATGTGCCCACCCGCGCACCCTGCCTCGGGGCGGACCAATCCGCCACTTTGGGCCTCCCTCTAGCGGCCGTTGGAGGGTTGGACCCCGGGGTGCGGGGTGGAGAAGATAGTAAGGGCGAGGACCCCCGAGGCAGAGTACCTGGAACCTTGTCCTCCAGTGGCCCCTTTAGGCTTGCAGTCCTAGCAAAAACCGCCCCTGAAATTCCCCAATAATCCTGACCCTTCCAGCCTCTCCAGGACCGGGAAAGAACTAGAAGGAAATGCATAGATAGCTAATACTGAGACCTTTATTTGTGCCAGAGGCTGATCTACATGCATTTACATAAATTAAATCATTTAATTTTGACAAAACCCCCATGAGGTAGGTATTATGCTTATTCTCTCAAAAAATTTTTTATTGAACATCTATTATGAATCAGGTACTACTCCATAGTTGTATATCCGTTTTGCAGATGAGGAAACTGAGGCACAGAGAGTGTAAGCAGCTTGTCCAAGATCACAAAGGTAGTGAGTGCCAGCATCTGGGATCGTAATCATCAGGCTATCCTGCCTTGGGAGGACCGGGAGGGAGATGCTGAGGAAGGCGAGATGGAGCAGTCAGGGTTGGGAGAAAAGGAGCAGGGAGGTGTCCTGTGAGCCTCAGGCTTGCTCAACCTGGGCGGGGGAGCCTGGGAGGAAAGATTAAGATCAGTATGGAAAGTTTCCTCCGTTGGCCTGGGATGGCAATGTTTGATGGGAAGGGTCTCTGTCCACGACTCTGGTGCTGAAAGTTCCCCGGAAAATGCCAGAGTCCATCGGCAAACACTGGTTGAGAGCCATATTTGTGCCAGGTTTAGGGCGTCTGAGTTAAGCAGGACCTGGTCTCTGCCCTAGAGGAGCTCTTGGCCTTGAGGGGAGCCAGCCACACCCACAGCACCTCACCAGACAGTGCACACCCACTATCAATAGATGCTCGGGCAGAGAGAGAAGGCTTCCCAGGAGAGTCACTTAAGACAGGTGGCGAGGATGGGCAAGAGCCATGGTGGAAAGTAGCAGGTGAGGCAGAAGGAACAGTAGGCTCCAGGAGCGATGGCAAGAGGCATGAGATCACGTGAGAAATGTGGAGCAGTCTGGCTGGGCCTGGACGGACAGACGTAGGGGCAGGTGCCTGCAGTGTGACAAGGGGGCTGGACAGGGAGGGGGCAGAACTGCAGCAAGGATGACAGGGAGGACTGGGAGAGGGGGAGAAGATCATTTGTAGAATCTTTAAAAGAGGACCAAGTTTTATTATTCCATTTGTCCCAGAAGAGAACAGTAGAAGCTATAAATATTGTGCAGGTTGCACACGGGAGAATGGGAGGCTGGAGAGGCTGCATTTTAGAGCCAAATGAGATGAAGATCCTCTGGTCGTTACACAGAGGGAGAGTCTGATGCTCAGAGTTCAAAGGGAGAGACAGAGAAAAGCACAACTAGTTAAAATAGAGCACGATGCTGCTGCAGCAAAAAGCCTGGAGCTCACTGGGGGTACCAAGAAGGGCACCTTCACGGGAGGCCGCTCAGAGGAGGTGGGACTCTGCTGAGTCCTGAAGGGCAAGCTGCAGTCAGCCAACGGGCAAGGGGTGGGCATTATGGGCAAAGGGTGGGTGTGGGCAGACAGGGAGGTGAGCAAAAACAGGGGAATTCTGGGAACTGCTCAGGATGGCACGGCCCATGGGCAAGGGAGTGGGGTCTGAAGATGGTGCTGGAGATATGAGTCGAGGCGGGACCAGGAAGCCACAGCAGCCACCCTGCCTTGTGCACTTCATGCTCCAAATGCATCGTGAACATAAACTGCTTTGTTTCACTTTGAAAGGCCATGCTGGCTAGTTTGGACTTTATACCGAGGGCAGTTGCTTGGCTTTGCAGGGCTCACAGTAAGGGAGAGGCACAGTGGGCAGGGAGACCAGGCCAGGAGAGAGAGAAGGGGCCCTGGGCCAGCATAGCGGTTGAGGTCAAGAAAAATCTAAGAGCAGTTTAGGGGCTGGAATGGACAGGCTTGGGGCCTGAGAGTGAGAGCAGCAAGGACGACAGCCGCTTCCCTGCTGGGAGGTGTGGGGATGGAGACGCCACTCGCTGAGACAGTGAACCTAGGAAGCAGGCCTCCTGCAGCCTGGAGGATGGGGACAGCGAGCACTTGGAACCCTGAGCCGAGAGCACTAAGGATGTGAGGGCAGTGGCAGGACCAAGTGACAGCGCTCAGAGTGGCAGAGGGTGGCAAGGGAGCCTCCGGTGTCGCTCAGGAGAAGCTGCCCCACCAGGACAGCACCCAGCACCAGCGGGGCCGTCCCTGCTCTCTAATGCAGCTCAGTCCCACAAAGAAGGAGTACCCAAAGGGTCCACAGGGGGAGTGTGCTGGACTCCAGGCCAGGTCCCTGAGCTGCAGCGACGGGGTGATCCAAGATCTGGGTCCAACAGAGGGGTGACAAAGGGGTGGCCTGAGTGAAAGCATGGGGAAGGCGAGGGAGTAGCAGGAAACATTGGGGGAAAGAGAAGGGTCAGTGATGGTGCTCCCCTGTGGTGGTGGCATTCATGGGGCACCCAGGAGTTGGGGGGAGAATGCAGGTGGAAGCCAGTTCTGTCAAAGTCAAGGGCATGGCATTCACGCTGATCCCAACCTGTCCCACACTCACTGCAGACATTGCAAATGCATCCCAGAATTTTTCCCCTAAACTTTTAATGTGCATTAAAGTTAGTTTTAATTACATAATTAACATTACGTAAGTGGTGTTTTAAAAAAAATGGAACATTAAACCACCCCCAATCCTAGTACCCTCCTCCCTTCCCCAGAGGAAACTCCTATTACGAATCTGGTGAGTATCTTCTAGACCTTTTAGAAGTAATTTTATAAACACACATCTGTACCCATAATAGAGTATTATCTCAGATCACAGCATTCTTTCCCACCAAGCCCACATTCAACCTCAGGATCCTCCTCAACACAACTCTCTAGGCAATCCTTACCCAACTAATCAGAGTTAGAACAAGAAAGGACACTACTTGCTCCCCCTGACTTCGGGAGTGAGATTTCCCCCAGAAGTCAGCATGGCACAAGCTGCCTTTTGGTGGCAAAAAGTCACAGCCCTGGAAACTGCCCAGTGGCCAGGCACTATGCAGATGCCCCTGGCTCCCTTGACAGACGTTATTATTCCACCTTAGGACCAGGCACTGAGGCAGGAAGTCAGGGAAGGGGTCTTCAAGCCAGTCGAAATAATCCCTATGTTTATGTGGAGCACAAGGGGTTTCCATATCCCCTGGTCTGTTTGAACCTCCTGGGGTCCTGTAATGTAGATGGGGCAGCTGCTATTATTTCCAAAGTCCCAATCAGAGAGGTTGCATAGTTTTCCCTAGGTCACACAGCAGTCAGAGGCAAGAGTGGAATTGAACCCAGGACAGCCTGGCATCCAAAGGACCCCTTCTCCCTCCCTAGCCCCTACTGAGGCTCCACTGGTGGCCTCTCTAGAAGCACAGCAGACTGGAGCAGCCCTGACCAAGGAGAACCAAGTGGACATGGGGGCCGAGGAGACAGGGGCCCCTGCCTCGCCCCGCCAGAGGTCCTGGCTGGTGCGGCATTTCTCACTACTGCTACGGCGGGACCGGCAGGCCCAGAAGGCAGGGCAGCTCTTCTCGGGGCTCCTGGCCCTCAACGTGGTGTTCCTGGGTGGAGCCTTCATCTGCAGCATGATCTTCAACAATGCGGCCATCACGCTGGGCGACGTGTGGATCCTGCTGGCTGTGCTGAAGGCCCTCTCCATCCTCTGGCTCCTCTACTACGCCGCCGGCACCACGCGCCGCCCACACGCTGTGCTCCACCGGGACCCTCACGCAGGACCCATCTGGGTGCGGGGTGAGTGTCAGGGCGCTGGGGGGATGGAAAGCGTGGGGAGGGAGAGTCTGCTCCAGGGGAGGTGGCAATGGCCGCCTGGCCCGGCCAGGCTCCCTGGTGCTCTTCGGCAGCTGCACCATCTGCCTCAACGCCTTCCGCATGGGCTACGATGTGAGCCACATCTACTGCAAGTCGCAGCTGGAGCTCGTCTTCCCTGCCATCGAGATCGTCTTCATCGGCGTCCAGGTGACAGGCCCTCCCATCCATGCCACTGGGCGCACACTCTAACTACCCATGCGATGGTCACACATGCTGATCTATGCCTAGAGACAGCCACATAGGCAAATACCCACATGGCCCAGCCCCCCACAAACGCCTGCCTCCAGGGACCCGCATCCATACACACCCACATATACCTGCATCGGCACACACACCGTGTCACAGAAATGCAGACAATAAATACATCTGCCCGTACATACTTGCGTCTACCTAGATCTGCAGCCCCAGATACGCAAAGCTACTCTTAATAATGGATATCCAGCTCCCTCCTGAGCTCCTGTTCTGCACCAGGCACCGTGCTAGGTGTTTCATCTGCATTGTCTTCTTTACTTCCCCATTAAGCAGGCCTTGCCCTGAGAGGGAAGCGTTTTAGCCCCATTTTAGAGCCAAAGAGACTGAGGCTCAGAGATGTTTTGCCACTGGTCCAAGACAACACAGCAAGGAAACGTTGGAGCCAGGATTCCAACCTAGGCTTCCTTAATGTCTCTTCCATTGTAAATATATACACGCAACTGAGGCACACCCTGAGGTCCCACCCCGCAGCCTTTGGGCTCAAGGCCTCATCTCTTTCAGACCTGGGTGCTCTGGAAACATTGTAAGGATTGCGTTCAGGTCCAGACCAACTTCACTAGGTAAGATGGGGGCCCCTTCTCTCCCTCTAACAATGCCTGGGGCTCCCTGTCCTCTGCTAGGGCCTGCCCGCACAGCTTCCCTGGACAGGGTGGCCCTGGGGCTGTGGGTTAGTCTGGAAATGGATCCCAGGTGGCCCCTGGGCTGCCTCTTCTGAAGTCATAATGCCAGCTGGGATCTGGTTTTGGGAGAGAGCGGTCACCCCAAAAGCAGTCACGGTGAAGTTCGGGTACCCGGGGAGTCGGCCAAGCTGTGTGGGCAGAGTGTGGCACCTCCTCCAGGTGTGGCCTGATGCTGACCCTGGCCACAAACCTGCTGCTCTGGCTCCTGGCCATCACCAACGACTCGATGCACTCGGAGATCGAGGCTGAGCTCAGCGCCCTCATGGAGAAGTTCTCAGGTACAGACAAGACCAGGACCCTCCCACCCTGAACATGTGGACACACAAACACACACTCGTGCCATGCTCCCTCAAACAGGCAAGGCTCTAGAATTGGGTGCAAACTCTAGAGGCCAGATCACGACTAAACAGAAAACATGTTTGCCAGTGGTACTGTCCTGCCCCCATTCTGTGCCTGCCCACTCTGGTGCTGGCACCCTGCAGCCTGCGCAGGCATCCATCTAGCTGTCAGCAAGCCAGCCACAAATCCCGGCTGAGCTAGTCACTGACAATCCAGGTCTGCACCCCTCCCCTGGTATTTGCATGTTACTTTCAGGAAACTAAAGAACCTTCAGGACTCAAAGGAGTGTCTTCCTAACACGAATGTAGGTTCCTGGACATATCAGGAGGGACGGAAGATTTCTGGGCAGAAAGAACTCCCTGCATTGCTCCACGTGCCCAATCCCCACCCGTACAGTCTGCCCCTTAGAGGCGGTATCCCCAACCCACATGGGAAAGTCGCTGTCTGTGGGACAGAGCCACACCTGTATGTATTCAGCCCCCCAGGTGGCATCACCATCCTGACCTGTGTACAGCCCAGCCTTCCCAGCACACTCATGAGTTTACACACCCATGGCATAAATCATGGCACTCCCGTGTACTGCGGGCATTCTCTATGCTCCAGGAACATTTTTCAGAAGAGTTGCAAAGAGAATTTTTGGCAAGTGACATCACGGCTTTTTTTATTATTAGAAAATTCAAACATACAAATGAGTGGAAGAACAAGATCTATCTATCACCTAGACATAATTATCAACATTTTGCAATATTTATTTCCTTTTTTTTGCGGAGTTATTTACATTACTGAGATCATGGCATTCATTTCAAAACATTTCGGTTTGCTTCCCTTTAAAATAAGTGTATTTCCCTACACTACCACAATGTAATTTTAATTTCTAACAAAAGTCCTTAACATCGTCCCCATGCTCTGTATCAATCTGTCTTTAGCTTTCTCCAATCACCCCATGAAATGTCTCGTACGATGGTTTGTTCAAACACGCAATGCATTTGGTTGTTCAGTCTCTTAAGCCTCTTTTTTTCTGATGACACTGAGATTTGTCAAGCTGCTTCCTAGTGGTGGCATTTGACTTGTTGCCCTCTCCCCTGCTTTTCCTAGAAACCGGAAGTAGGGACCAAAGCCTTGATCAGGTTCAGGTCAAGCATTTTTGGTGCTGGCACTCCACAGGCAATGCTGTGTGCTTGGCAGTCCATCTCATCGCAGGGCGAGACGTCTGCTTACCCCACAGTGCCCGCTGCTCAGGGTAAAGGGGTAGCAGCCAGATCCTCCTGTTGTAAAGTTACAGGTCTCCCCCTGTGCCCAACAAGCAACCTGTAGAGGTGGCATTTGGCACCAGAGACACCGTGTGTTGAAGGCTTTGGGTAAGCTTGGCACCTGAAGTCTTGAATCCCTTTGTGAAGGAACAGTCATCCTGTGATTTCTGGTTTCTATCACTGGGCCTCAGTCCCATATCCTGTAAAATGGGTAGCTGGGTCCCTGCCACCTCTGGCATTCTCCAGGAGGTGAATGGGACTGATTTGTGCAGCTGGTTTCCTCAGAGCGAGGCCCACCTGTGCCCTCTCGCCCTGCCCCCTCCCAGGCAATGAGACCAACACCTGCCTGTGCCTCAACGCCACGGTGTGCAAGGTCTTCCGGAGGGGCTACCTCATGCTCTACCCCTTCAGCACCGAGTACTGCCTCATCTGCTGTGCCGTGCTCTTCGTCATGTGGAAGAACGTGGGCCGCCGCCTGGCACCCCACGCAGGCGCCCACCCGGGCACCCCGCCCTTCCACCTGCATGGAGCCATCTTCGGGCCGCTGCTGGGCCTGCTGGTGCTGGTGGCAGGCGTGTGCGTCTTCGTGGTCTTCCAGATCCAAGCCAGTGGCCCCGCCATCCCGCGCCAGTACTTCACCCTCTACTATGCCTTCTATGCTGCCGTGCTGCCCGCCATGAGCCTGGCGTGCCTGGCAGGCACGGCCATCCATGGGCTGGAGGAACGAGAGCTGGACACGCTCAAGAACCCCACCCGCAGCCTGGACGTGGTGCTGCTGATGGGCGCGGCCCTGGGCCAGATAGGCATCGCCTACTTCTCCATCGTGGCCATCGTGGCCACTCACCCCCATGAGCTGCTCAACCACCTCATCCTGGCCCACTCGCTGCTGCTCATCCTGCAGCACATCGCCCAAAACCTCTTCATCATCGAGGGCCTCCACCGGCGCCCGCTCTGGGAGGCAGCTCCGGAGGGCCTGGCGGGGAAGCAGGAGGCTGCGCCGCCCCGCAGGGGCTCCCTGCTGGAGCTGGGCCAGGACCTGCGGCGTGCCTCGCGGGCCTACATCCAATCCTACAGCCACCTCAACCAGAAGCGGCGGGCACTCAAGGAGATCTCACTCTTCCTCATCCTCTGCAATATCACAGTGAGTGGTCAGGGCGGGAGGCGTGGGGGTGGAGCTGGCCAGGCAGCCCCAGAAATCCTCACTCAGGAAGGCATGGATCAAGGCGCATTCATTGCACATGGACTGTCCGAAAGGCAACTGGCTTGTCCGTTTGATTGCCAACGACACGTGCCTGTTTCCGACTAGCTCGCTGCTACTTGAGAGCAGAGAGTGCCCCCCGAGCTCCCTGCAAAGTGTCTGCCATTAATGAATGTGCCAAGCATCTAGCTGAGTGCTCTTTACAAACATGTAAGGTTTCTACCCTCAAGAAGCTTCCTGTCTAGTTGGGGAGACATGGGGGGAAGTTACCAAATAATTAACCGTCCACTGAATTCAAAGGAAGAGATCAGAAAGCACCTGGTTTTCTAAAGACTCTGTAGCAGAAGGTGTTGACAAGTGCTCAGTGTCTGGCGGCTGCTAAGCCCCAAGACCACCTCCCTATGTGATATTTCTCCCCTCCCTGGATCATCACAGCATCCCCATGCAACAGGCACTATTACTGTCCCTGTTTGACAGGTGAAGAAACCGAGGCTTAGGTTGTTTGACCTTCCCACAGTCCCACAGGCTGTAAGTGGCAGTGCCAGGACCACTCAGGGTTGTCTGAGCCCATGTTGGTAAAGACTGCACTGAAACACACCTCAGATGGTGAAACCTCTGGTCCAGGCAGAGCATCAGTAATAAATTGGCCCTAAAGCGCAGTAGGAGCTCAGAGAAGGAAGTGTGGGCCTGAGCGGCCAAGGAAGGCTTCATGAAGGTTTGATCTGGGCCTCGAGAAATGGGCAGAATTTGGACAGAAGCTGGGGCCACGGTGGAGGGGGCAGAGAGTTGTGACTAGCAGGAGAATGAAGCCAGAGCAGAAGGCGCTTGAGGTCAGGGCTCAGGGAAGCCCAGCTTGATGGGGCGGCTGTACCATGTGTGGTGGCAGCCTGGGTCTCATGATCCATCTGGGGTTCAGGCTGGTCCCAGGCAAGCCAAGGAGGTGGCTGAGGCCTTCTGCGGTATGGAAGGTCATGGGGGGAGAGGGGCTGGACCAAGGGTGAGGGGATGCTAGGGTGGGGGCTGTGCTGGAGAAGCTGCAGGTTCTGGGGCCTGCCTCCCCTGAGCTGAGCACCTTGGGGCAGGGGAGAACCCCTCCCACTCAATGCCCTCCTCCCCTCCCCAGCTGTGGATGATGCCCGCATTTGGCATACACCCGGAGTTTGAGAACGGACTGGAAAAGGATTTCTATGGCTATCGGACATGGTTCACCATCGTCAACTGTGGCCTGCCTCTGGGGGTCTTCTACCGCATGCACTCTGTGGGGGGGCTGGTGGAGGTCTACCTGGGGGCCTGAGGTTGCCCAAGGAAGCCACCCCCGGCAGAACCTCAGAGCGCCAAGGCCCGACGGAAGGTAGACCAGAGTCTCTGAGCATTCCTGGGCTCCCCAAAGCCTCTCCCTCCCCAGAACCTCACCGAGAGAAGAAGGCACTGTCTGCAGCCCAAGACCAAGGCAGGGTCTGGACCCTGAGCTTTGATGCCCACGCCCAGGACTGGGCACGTGCCTGCCCCCTGCTCACCACCACGATCAGCACTACCAAGGATGCACCTCAGGAAACCCCCACGGCTACTCTCTGCGAGGGTCAGCCCTAAACCACTGAGTCTGGGGAGTTTGGAGAGGAGGGCCCCTACCCAGGCTTCAGGGGTCTGCCTTCTGCTGTGGGAAGGGTGCACGGTCCAAGCTCAGCCCAGGACGTCCTGGGAGCTCGAAGCTTGGCAGGCAGCCCTGCCCCTCTCCCCGCACACTCCGTCTCCTAATGAGCTCATTAATTAGCTGCCAGGCAGGGGTCAACAGCTCTCTCCGCGCTGCCATAAACCGTGTTTGTTTGATCAATTACATTCTGGCTTCGTGGCATTTGTTCCCAGGGACAGAGCCGCCACTCCAGGTATGATGGGAAGGGATAGTCCTCCTGGGCAGGGCTGTGGGGCTGGGACAGTCCCCTTTAGAAGGGTCTAGAGCAGTCCTTCCCTTGTCTGTTCCACGGGAGGAGGTGGGAAGAGAGGGGCCGGGGTTCTCACATCCCCTGCCCCTCGCCAGCACCCCTTCCCTCCAGGACAGAGTACCAAGTAACTTTCTGCAGCCGGCTCACCACGGGGGCTGGCTGCCCCGTCTCCAGGCCTGCCGGTTCCTCAGAGCCATCAGTGGAGAGGGCAGGCACTGACAGCCCATTTATCTCCCGGAGCCTAGTGTAAACAGTGGGCTGTGCCCAGGGCGAGGCCCAGGGCGAGGCCCAGGGAGGGCAGCCCTGGCACCTGCAGGCCAGGCTTTCATGAAGCCGGGCACCGGCAAGCACAGGGCCGCGGGCCCAGGGGACCCCTCAACCCTGTGCTGTCTCAGCAGCTGCCTGAGGCCCTGCAGGAGGCCGGGAGGCAGGCCCCGCACCTCTCCTGCATGGGCTCTTCCTCTGGGTGGTCACAGCCCAGGGGGCCAAACCCCAGGTGAGAGGGTCCAATTCTCCACTTCCCCACCCAAGAAGATGACAAATGCCGCTTCTCAGTCATGCGCTGAGGGCTCTCTGGGGATCGACTCTGGGAGGCAGAATCCCCAGCTCCCTCAAGACAACAGCCATGGCCTGACCCTCCCCTCCCAGCATGGAGAGCCAGGGCGTAGAGAGGGGGGTTTATTGTGTAAGACGCCGATTGTACAGAGCAAAGATTGTACTGACACAGGAGGGGTGAGGGAGGCCCAGAGGCCAGAGTGGCAGGATGGAGAGGTGGCATCCTGGCCCCCCTTTCCCCGAGTCATCCAGGCAGTGGGTGGGGCAAGGGCTGAACAGCTGCCCCCACCCCCGTTCCCTTCCCCCGAGTACTAGATAAGAAGGAGCCAGGCTATATCCACTGGCTTGGGAGAATACAGCAGGAGACCCCCAACACCCCACTCCAAACCCCTAAGATGCATGAGGTCCCCCAGTCTGGCTTGTGCAGTCTGCCAGCCCCCAGACACCCTCGAGCAGCCTGGTTATGCTCCTTCCTCCCGTGGGCCCTGGCAGCAAGCCAGGCCTGACCAGGTGGTTTCAGGTTAGGAAGCTTGGAAGGGCTCCCCTCACCCTGCCCAGGTGCCTCAAGGGACGTCCAAAGGGCTCCCTCTTGGGTCACCCATTCGGGCACAGTGACCTGGTGGCCTCTAGGGGTGGGCAGCACAGGAGCTGAGCGGGCACTGAGGGTCACACGGAAAACAGGTCTTAACGGGGAGCCAGAGTGTGAGGGGGGCTCTGGCGGGGGCCTGCAGCTCTGGAGACGCGAGGTTCCTGTAAGTCCAGCCCAGAAGGAGGGGTCAGAGCTGGTCCCACTCTCCCAGCCACAGGGGCCCTCCAGGGCCTGCCACCCAGGACTCAGCCAATCTGCCAGCCCTCAAGCCCTGACTGTAGTCATTTAAAGCTCAGAACAGTGGGTTGGGCGGAGCATCAGGGGGACCAGGGCCCCCTGTCCTCCCCTGGTCCTTGCCCCTTGCAGGCTTCCATCCTCACACCCGCTGGATCTCAAACAGCTTCACATCGGTGTCGTACCAGACAGGCGGATCCACATTCCTGCAGAGGGAGTGGGCTGTCACCTGGGGGCTAGGAGGCCTTGCAGAAAAGACCCAGGGGGAGCTGGATGGGAGCCCAAACCCCTTCCACCCTGATATCCCACCCCGGGCAGTGGGTGCCCACCCTCAACCAGACAAGACCACCCTGGTGGACTGTCTTGACATTAAGACCACTACAATGGTGGGACCCAGGGCCACAGCCCCCACTGAGTCCCGCTGGGCAGACGCTCAGGTGGAAACCAGACCCACCCAGGCTGGTAACTGCCCCGCCCCCCACGGGGCCCACCTCAGATAGATGACGCCCCACATGTAGGTGCGGAACCACATGGCCGTGCCGGAGTTGGCCTGGTACTTGCGGATGAGGATGGGGTGGGGCACGGGCAGCAGCCCCACCAGGGTACCGTGCTGCAGGAACCTCAGGATCTCCGACTCGTCTGTCAGGCCCCTGTCGGGGAGAGGGACGGTCTCCAACATGATCAGGTAGGAAAGCCCACCCTGAAGGTCTAGGGCAGGGGGCGCTGCTTCCAGTCCCACCCTCACTCACGCCTGGGCTGGCCCCTCCTCAGAGCCCACCTGCTCACCCTCGCCCCCAGCCTCACTTGTCAATGCAAATCTTCTCCACCTGGGGAACCAGCACCTGGAGAAGCCTCATGATGGTCTGCAGCGGCAGCTTGGACTTCCAGGAGAGGACCTGGGGGAGGGACCGGGGTTCCCGGGGCTGCAGGACAGGCCTGACCCCTGACCCAGAACCATGAGCTCCCCACGGCAGGAAGTGTCCCCACCCACCACTGACACGGTACAGGGACCTATTCAAGGTACAAGCCTCACAGTGAGCACGTCCTACATGCATGAAACTGTCCCCTTTGACCCTCACAATGGCCTGGGTCAGGTAGGGACGTTTATTACTCCACACGAGGGCAATGAGTGGTGATCTCAGGAAACACGTAAGGGAGTGGGCAAGTGATTCTGGGAAGGAAGCTGGAAAGGATGATTTATTAAGAAAGGTAGCACTGTGGGCAGCTGAAGCCTAACCCTGCGGGAGAACTCTGGACTGTGAGGACAGGGGAAGCAACCGAGTCAGAGAGAGGTCAAGGTCACCCAGCCGGAAGGACTGACCCGAGCCTGGCTCCCAGGCCAGTCCTTGGATTTGGAGACATCCCCATCCGAGCCTTTGCTGAGCTGTTCTCAGGACCGGGAGACCCTGAGCCACCCCTCCTCGCTGCCATCTGCCCAAACCCTCACCCACTCCGATGTTGGGCTCCACTGCCCACTGGCTGATGAGCTGGACGGTCGCCGCTGTTCCCGCCACGCCTGGCTGGGCTCCTGGTTCCCAGGGGAAGGAATAGGAGGGAGGGGCGGAGGGAGTGGGTACAGGGCCTGGGCAGAGAAGCATCCCCTCTTCCCAGGCCCTCCCACATTCTGGAGCCTGGGAGGCAAGGAGGTCTCTCCACTGGCCCCTGTTGGTGGGGGGGCTCACTCCCATAGGAGGGGACAGCCCAGCCCAGCCCAGCACCCTTTGCCCTGGGCCCCAGGCCCTGCCCAACCCAGCCCAGTCCAGTGACAGGTTTAGGGCCAGGAGCTGACTGGGCAGGCTGGGTAAAGGCCAGCCCAGCCCAGCCTCAGATAAGGGTGATGGATGGGGAGTCTGAAGACCAAGGGCTTGGGCCTGTGACCAATAAACAAGGAAGGGGTCTGTGGAAGCGCCCCCCTGAAAATCAGCAGTGCCAACACTGATGCCCTGGGCGCTGGGTCCCTGCCCCTCTGCTGAAGGTGACCCCAGAGTGCCCTGGCCCAGCCCACACCATGGAGGCCAGGGAGAAAGGGAATGCCCAGCCTCACCCTGCTCCAGGAGTCCCTGTCACCCACCTCCGCAGCTGGGCTGCCGTCTGCCGAGCTCGGCTGGGATGCAGACTCCAGTGACCGCAAGGTGCCATCCTCTGACACTTGGGACTTCTCCGTCAGCTTGTCAATGCCTGGGGGCAGGGGGCCCAGGGGGGCTTGAGGACACCCGCCAGACGCCTGCCAGAAGAGGCTCCCTCCTCCGCCCACCCACTCTAGAGATGCTGTGCTGATCTCCCCACACCCAGCCCCAAGGCCCGGGCCCCCACCAAGCCACCCCTCCTGGGCCCCCTCAATGCCTCCAGCCCCACCCCAGTTGCCCATCCCCATCCCCTCAGCTTCCCAACTCAGGCCATGCCTTTGCCAGAGATGGGGGTGACCCCCTTAGAGACTCTGCCCAGCCCCCAACTCTGCCCGTATCCACACCCCCTGCCACCTGCCAGCTCCCAACCTGGGGTGGCCACCAGGCTGGTCTTGAGGGTGCCCGGCTCGGCGGGGGCGGCAGGGCGGGAGCCCTCCATGGAGGCACCCTCCTGCGAGCCAGTGCGGGACAAGGGCTCCGGGGCCCGGCGGCGCCGCTGCAGCGCCTTGTGGATGGCAGGCGGGTCGGTGGGCAGGTTGGCCAGCTGGTGGAAGACGCTTCGCTTGCGGATGATGGCGTAGACCAGGTTGGAGTTGCCTGTGGGGGGGACAGGCCTCACCTCAGGGAGCTCCCAGCACCTCTCCCTCCCCCCGCGCCTCCTGGGGGCGCGTTGGGAGGACAGGAGAGCGTCTATCCCACGGGCGGGCACCCGAGGGGCGCAGCCAGGCAGAAGTGGTGTGGGCCTGTGGCTACCCCAGGATGTCACCTTTTTGGGAAAGAGCTCCTGGGCTGAGCTCCCCCTGATGCCCTGCCTTGGTACCTTCCAGACCCCCTCACAATCCAGCGCTAAGGGGTAACACCTGGCAAAGGGGGGGGCTACCCTAGCATATCAGTGTCCAAACTAAGCCAGCTGTTCAATATTTTGACTCTGCCTGAGCCAGGACAGCAGAGAGGAAGGATAATATGGCATGTGCCAGTGCTTTGTCGCCCACACTGACTACGCTGAATTCCCTCGGCTCCTGGGGAAGATGCAGACGCTTTCCAGACCTTCAATGCCCTGTCACCTCTCTGGTCCCTGCCTCTCACCACACTGTTCTGCTTTCAGTTCACCATCTCACCCCAGGGCCTTGGCATATGTTGCCCCTCCCCCCAAAATGCTTTTCTACCCCACCCCACCCCCATTCATCCCTCATAGACGAATGCAGATATTACTTATTTGGGAAATAATAATAGCTGCTAATATTTAGGTTGCCAGACGCTGTGCTATGTGCTTTTTGGGGGTTATTTTACTTAATCCTTCCATCACCCTCTGAGATAGGGACTCTTAGTACTATTGTTATGACCATCCTACAGATGAAGAAACTGAGGCTCAGAGAGGTTCAGTTACGTGCCCACAGTCACAGAGCTAACAAGTGGCAAGGCCCTAATTTACATCAGGCAGTCTAGCATCTGTGACACCCATGAGGACCATAGCTCCCTGAACTTCCCTCTCATCCGATTTAAGATGACCTGTTTGTCTTGGTGCCCATCTATTTAAAGCCCCCTCCGTGCCTCCACCCCACACGGTGAGCTCCACAGGGCAGGGAGCACTCTGTTTTATTCCCATTGTCTCCTCTGCACCTAACATGGCACTAGGTAAACAGCAGGTGCTCGATAAATGCACGCTGAACAAACTGGCGGACAGAGGTGTGTGCCCTCCTTAGACAGGAAGGGGTCCTCGCCCACTGCCCACCCTGCTTCCTGCCCCCAAGGCCAGGCCAGGGGCTTGGGCTGGTGCCTCACCATCAAACTGGTACTGGATGATGTTGTTGAAAACCTCTAGGAGGAAGAAGACCAGGTGGTGGTTCTGGGCGGCAGAGAAGAGAAACCAGGTGGTGGAGAAGGCCTCCAGCAGGTGCAGCAGCTTGTTGGCGGCCACCATGGACAGGCTCTTGAGGTAGGGGGACACTGCAGAGGAGGGGTTGGCTCACTCCTGGGGCCCCCACCAGCCATCCCTGCACAGCCTGGGCCTGAGCGGGACAAGATGC